ATGAACTCGGTTTTTAAAGTCTTTTCAGTTCAGCAGAGGTTCTTTAAGGAAATTCCAAGCAAGTTTCTAGGACATGACTAGAAACGTATGACAAGCTTTACTTGATAATATTTTTACCATAAATACATTGCTCTACTAATATGAGACAGTGCAGCTTTGAGGGGAATTACATAGAGCAGAGCTCTAAAATTGTTCAGTTAAACTGAGAGGAAACAGTACTCCTACAAGTTTGTTGACTCCTTCAGCACCTCAAAATTTATTTTTGAGCTTTTCAAACAGATAAATCAGTATTCAGAAGAGCTGCTTAGAAAAAATAAGAATCAGAGGGTTCTCAATTGTTTTGTTTAAAAATTGAGAGAGGAGCAAGAAGGAAAAACTAGGAAATGCAGTAAGATCAAACCAGATCTACTTTTGCTACTGATTTAATTCAACTCAGATAATTCAACTTATTTCCAGACAAATAAATTTAGAATTTTCTCCTTTCATATTCTCCAGAGGTAAAAGTGTCCTGCCACAGAATTTCTATTAAAAACAGAACTTAGATATAAATGGACCAAAAAATGTGTTTGTGCTGATGCAGCACAAGATAGTACTTTCCCATTGCTTGTGAAATTCATGAGGAGCATTTGGAGGTGGCACTGATACACAGCAAACAAAGGTGATGCAAACACTGTCGGCAGGTATCTCCAGAAAAGAAAGGGAGCTAATGACAAACACCACACCGAGGAGTTGTCATGTAAATACCTCACACGGAATAAGTACCAAAAATCAATACTAGTGGCTGGAGGTTGGTTCAGAAGGAAAATAAGGATCACATCATCTAGTCTATTTAATCCTCTAAATAAACCAAAACTTCATCAAGACCAACGAAGGCAGGTCCCAGTGACAAGGAACACTGCTTAGCCCTCAGTCTTCTTTCCTTATTCCAATGCCAGCTATAAGCAGCATCTCCTGAAAAATACAGAAGTGCCTCTACTGTTTCAGTGGGCAGGCTTGATGTCTCTCTTGTGACACCTTTGAATTTGAAGAGAAGTACCACTAAAACTCAGTACCTCAAGTACCCCAAGGGATATAAAAATGAACATAAAATCAAACCTCTAAACTGGTGAAAATTTGAGCTTTATGCTAATTATGGAAACCAACAGGAGAAGCAAACTGCATAATCAGTCTTCAGAGGATTTAAAAACACTGCGAGCAGGCTCTACTATCATCTCAGGTCAAATGTAAAATATAAATGTGCAACCTTCTAGTTTTAATCCCAGCTCCACCACTGACTTTGTCAGCCATCCCAGATTGCCTCTGTTTTCCCTGCTAGCTTTTCTCCTTTCTCCCTTTCAATTCTAAGCTCCCCTGAGCCAGGACTGCTTCTTAACATGTAACTCAAAAAAGACGTTCACACTGGTCTTTGACTTCCAAAAGTACTGTGTTCTCTCTCTCCCTCCCCTCTTTTTCTCTGGGTTAACTGCACACTTTGAAAAAAAAACCCATAAAAATTCCAGCAAACAGAAATTATTTCCATATGATATCCACAGAATTCTGTGAAAAATTTGCATTTCCTTGAGTCTCACACAAGGCCATTGAAGATCACTGCTGATGACTGATCAGATGGTGCTTCAGTTTCATTCCCTCCAATCCTTGCCATATTTCTCGTATCCTTTCCGCTAAAGAGTCCTCATCATGCAGCTAACAAATGTCTTAAACTCACTTCTTTCATCCCAGCAGTGCAAGAGCAAATCAGCTGAGAATGGCAGACGTCTGCTCCTAATGGACATGAGCACACACCAGGTCCCATCTTCTCTAAGTACCTTGATGTAGACTTCCTGGCTGCACACTTATTAGCTCAATCCTGCTTATACAGCACACAGGAAATAATAACAAAGTGCCCCATGAAGTAGCATGTAGGGCCATAAATTTCAGATTGAGACATCTTCCATTTCTCCACTGGTAGGCATATGGAGAAGAGGACTTGGGGGGGGGGTGCTACGCCTGATACCTTCTCACGGTGAAGTCAAGAAGTAAAGCCGAGCCATCCTCATGTCCTGAGGACAGGTGAAGAGGCACTCAAAAGCACAAGGGTCCTTCACCAATGCATAGTGGTATCTCTAAAGCTTTCATTCTTAAAACATGACTATTTGACTTCTTGTTTTAATCCCAATCCGCATGTGCGAGACACAGTTATCAAAATAAAAGTCTCATCAAGCAAATGCTGTTTTTGGAGGGGGCCTCCATGGGCTCTGAACTGCTATCTCAGTGAAAGGCAAACGAGTCTGGAGGAAGCGGGTGGGGGGAAGAGCCAGGAATTATACATATTCTAACGATGTCTTCGTTTCCCAGCAGCTCTACAACAAAAAGCTCTCCGGTGCTGAATCTGACCTCACTACAAACAGTAGCAGAAAACATGCCTCACTGTAAGCACTTGCATGGTTTTCCTCTGCAAACACGCTTTCCTTTGTTTACTGTATTTTTAAGTACATGAGTGCACAGACCACCCACAGTATCAGGTAGCCTAGCACAGGAAAGGTGAGAGATGAGGCTAGGATTGCTTCCTTATATGAATATAAATTAATCTATCTGATCCACATATGCTAGTGAGCCACAGCTCATCCTCAGTCAGTTCATGTCCCTGACAGGCTAACTTGTCCCAAGCTCTCCAGAAATCATGCAGATGAAAGAGCCGAGGCTGTGGTATAGGAATTACAGGACTGGAGAGTTAAAAAGGGATTTGCAAATCAAGAAGTAATGCCTGCCTTGGCTTAATTTAATTTATCATATTCTACTGCTGCTCCCCCCTGCCCCCCAGCAGCAAATCAGTATTGTACACAGAAGCAGTTACGGTGCGAGATACTACCTGATCTCTACTGTAGCACCTGGTTAAAAATATGCTCGGTATCCTTTGGGCTCTGACCTGCGTACACTGAAACAAAGATAGGGATGAGTTTACAGATGAACACAGGATCTGGCAGTGAGCACACTAAGTCATTTCTCTGCTCTCCTCCTGCACCTTATCAGTGACATTTCCCTAACAGCACAAGATGCAGCACCAGGCTCACCGCATTTCAACTCCCCAAGGAAACTCGCTCAGATCCTCCCAGGGATTACACTTTATCTGGCAAGCACCAGAGTAAAAAGTGAAAGCATTAGTTCATTTTGCACCTTGGTTGTTCACATCCACAGACACTCCAACTCAACAGCAGAGAAGATAACAGATAAAGGGAAGAATTTCTCTAGAATCTCTTAAAAACCCCACCTTTGGGTTTGCTGATCATTTCAATAGCATTTATTACTATGCAACGTTACTGCAAGGAATATTTTGAAAATACATTCGCTCTAAACCAGACACA